TTGGTACTTTGTGCACATAAGCTTGCAAATATGGATAATTTTGCATTCCTGATGATGACATAATTAATGTTGAAAAATTGAATCTCGACACGATGGCGTGCATTTGGATACTTGAAGTATGTATTATACTATCTTATTTTAGCTTTACCTGAGTAAATATTTTTCAGAATTTTTTTGCCAAGTTTGAAGTTGTTACCAACATGTATTTATATTCTGTCGGAGCAGACCTAAGCACCCATGCGTGAATTATGCATAAAATGAATTATCCTGGTTTTATCAGTCTATTGTTTCAAGGTGTTAGACATTTTTAGAGGTATGTTTTATTATCCAAATTAATCAGTATTTGTTCAGTTGAGTCAGAGTTTAGGGATTGATTTTTTTAAAGGGCATGTGACTGTATGGCAAATAGGGAGCACACACACACACAGTATCTCAAGACTCCTACTAAGCCGAACACCACAAAATGATTGGTAAGATTAAATTCTAAAAATTTAAATCAAAATTACCCGTAAAACCAACATTACTGTCTAATTTCATAGTATCTGATGTATAATTATTTTACTATATTTATAGATATTGTAGAGAACTATTGATAGTTCCTAATTATGGCATTGAATATCATGTAGTTCAGGTCTATTTTTTTAGTGCCTGCTTGCTATTTTAGAGCTGTGATTAATGGCGTTGAATAGCTTAGTGTTTGCCTTCCAATCTCAGGGTTCTGGGTTTAATTCTTGTCAGTGTTGCAGGATTTTTCTCATGACCAAAACAACTCCACTCCCTAAACCTCATATTGTGATTTGGTTTGTGTAAAGCATCGTGTGTGTATGTTTGTCTTGTGTAAGGGATTGTCATCTACATGTTGCACAGTGGTGTATCTGCTATCAACAATTCTTGGCGCATAATGTTGTGCACCTAAATTTAAATAATAATAATAAAAAAATAATAAACTAGGGCTGTATGCTAATTATAATGTATGACGTACCTCTCAAGAGAGAATGAATAGTGCTCTGTTCAGATATGTAATGCCGACCCCTCTCCTCCCCCTCCCTTGCAATATTAAAGCCTGATTGACGTGCCTATGTTACACATGTAAATGATGAATTCATGTATTTTATAGAAAATACTGTAGTAGATGAAGTTATACTGATCAGGTAACAGAAAATGGAACACATACAGAGCACATTACTGACTTTATAATAAAGCATGTACTCGAGTGTAATGATACTCAAAACGTTTAGATGCTGTCAAGTTATTTGTCCCAGACTGCTCATCTTCTCAGAACTAAAAACACTAATGTACAGTACCACCTGAGGTCATTTATTCTTCTCAATTCTGTTTTGGATTAAGTCGCTGCTAGATTCTGTGAAAATACTGCGAAATGAGAAAAGATAACTTAAAGCATAGAATAGTGGAGTGCTACTACATAACTCCGAAGTTTGAACTTCTTCAAGACAGTAATTTCCTGGTTTGTATAGACCCAATAAAAAAAAAATGATTAGATCATCACCATCGCCTGCATACCTTATTATATAATACAGTAAAACGTCCATTTTACAAACGTTAATTTTATGAAAAGTTGTTGTAAAAGTGGCTTATTGTCATGTTTTTAGCCTTAGATGCAAGTAGGCTCTGGTCCATGGTTTGAAACTTATGCAGCAAACCACATAATTAGCTAATTTGGAAAAAATAAAAAATACACAATCCCTTTTTGACAGGAAACTCCTGCATCCCATTTTAGCATTTGTGCACCAAAATAGGAACAAGTAACAAAATTAATGTGTGATTTTTATTGCATAAATTTGAGTTTGTTATGCCATAACATGGCAGTTCAGATTGTTAATTAAACTTGAAATGTCCTTGATGCTAAAACAATTTTCATGCTTATAATGTAAAGTGATTGGCGACAATATCTTGCTGGTGATAGTTTCTTGTTGATACAGAACTTCAGATCTATTTAATTCGAAGGCTTACTGGTAGGTTTTGACTGTATTAACTGTCTGATGCTATCGGATAAGTATCCATGTTTATAGTCTTTTTCGGAATGTGATACGAATGTTAGAAAGTGCAGTACAGGACTAAGTACCTAGCCGATCTGTTCTAATTCATAATTTTACGCCATCCATGAATAGCGAAACCATTATAACTGTCTGCAGGCTGTTGTTTTTATAAAGCCTAGAGTAGCACATTAGTAACATGCTTTATCAAATGGTCTCTACATTTGTTGGTCGTTATAACTGCTTTTAGCTTTCCTCCAGTTTTGTCATCTCATATCATCTCTTCCCTTCTCAGTTATTCTCATTAATATGTGAAGCATATTAATCATGTTATATGTCTAAGGGGGACCAGAAAAGGGGAATATATCCTTTAGAAACAGATGACTTGTACCTAAGTTGTTTGATAGCCACAAGAATGAGGGGTATCTGCTTATTTGCCAGTTGCCAAAGATATATGATAATTACATAATTAAATGCCTTGACCTCATAGGCTAGATAGATGATTTAAATATAAATATTAATTAGTAATAGTATAATTTTGTCTATTTTATATACCACTATACTGTAGCTAATATCTTAGAAAAACATGTAAGAACTTCATTTTTCTTTATTATTTTTTGTAAAGATTGTTCGATGGAGCACATTAAAAATTATTGATTAACGGACTGTAATGTCTTGTGGAGGAATGACAGATCAATATCAATATTGTATTCGATGCTCTTAACATTAATAATCCACATTTAGTATTTAACATTATGTAACTAGATACATCTACGTTTACCCGCATGAAAAATATTCAGTTTCCAACATCACTGTAAGGTAGCATCATTTGTCAGCAGACTTTCCACATGCTACCAGCATGCTAACAAGAAACTTGCTTTACAAGTTGTCCTGCTTACTTTGGTATTTGTACACCGTGGAGTAGTAAGTACTCTTTGGTTACATTGTCTTGCGTAATTATACTTGACCCAGAGGGTATAAACGAGTAATTAAACAGATCACCAGCTGATCATCAATTAAATTGAACAAGTATAAATTGTGTACCTGTTAAATGTGTCAAAATTGTGTTTTGTATTTTGTGATTGTCAATTGAAACTGCAATATTGCAACTTTGTACTAGGTGACTATACCGATCAGTACAGTAGAATTGGGTTTTCGTTAAAGATATGGGTCAATGAGAAATACACATGTTTTTTTTAAAGTCAGTGGGGCACTCAGTAGGAGGAAAAGCAGAACCTCTTCCTTAGAGACACCCTTATTATCCAAGTGAACTATCAGAAGCGAATAAAAATATATATTAACACTGGCCAACCCCTATTCAAAGGACACCCCTAATAGTACAATCTTACTGGTCTCAGAGGTGTCCGCTTAATAAGGATTCTACAGTATTTTGTTAATATTTACTGTGTGATTTATAGCTAAAGATGAAGTTGCACACTGCTTCACAAAGTTTGTCACAAGGTAGAGGGCTATTAAGAGTGTTTACATTTTAATAGGCACAGACGGATGAATTTAATTGCCCTAAACTGCCACTACCATTATTTTTGTGAAGTGTATATATTATAATAAAATTTGAATCTGTCAAGTTTCCACAAATATTAATGTATCGAACTGCGTTTGGTCCAAAAATGAATGGACAGTAATAATACTATGTTCTTTAAGAATTTCTTGAATATTGGTGTATTATTGCATTTGTGTTCGATGTTCGGCGAGGTCTGCTGTTTCAAAAGTATCTTCTACCAATTATAATTACAGTAATATTAATGATCATAGATTGGTCCGATCCATACTACTGAGTGGCTTTGCACTGTATAACAGTCTAATACTAGTAGCAGCCATTAATGCATGTCTTATGTGAGTGCTTTCCTTCGGTTGAGTAAGCAAAGCAATGTTGGGTATGCATACATAAAACCATTTGTTTGATATTATGAAACATAAAGTGTCCTTGGTAAAAATTATGGCTGGTCTGAGCGAGTATTATATCATTTCTTATACTGTGTTTTTTTTTTCGGTTTATAAATGTTGTTACAGTAAAAATTTAAATCATTTGCCATTGTTGCTGTCTAGACGATAAGGTAATTATGGCGATGAAGATATGTTTACATTACTGTATGATAGTGATAAATAGAGATGGGTAAGATGATGATGCTGAGATCATGAGATGGTAACAGTAATAGTAGGGATGATGTATTGAGATTCTATAAGGAAAAAAGAGGGGAGATCGGACCAATTTATGTGCTATCAATTCTGTGCACTCTGTTAAAAGGATACTATTGCTTGTATAACACCATTTACTAAATGTCAACAAATTTGTACAATATTTTGATGTAATTGCTTTGCTTGAAATTCCTTACCCTTTGTTTTTACCTTAAACGTTCCATAATGTATTTTCTTTTTATTTTTATAAATTGACATTTCTATGCAATCCACATGTGAATCCACTGTGGCAAATGTAGAAAATCAAACGCATTGGAATTGACACTCAATATTCTTAAAACTTTACTACCAGGCATCTTGTATTTTCTATCTGTAATTGTCAATGGATGTGAGAAAATATATTAATTATTTGCTAATTCATTCCATGCATGGTGTGTGCGTCTTCTCATTTATGTTTATATCTTATATTTTATTTTAAAAAAAATTAATAATCACATTGAATTAATATCAGTGGCGTATCTAGGTGGTACACGGTGGGACGAACGCGTCCCCCCTCCAAAAAAAAAAATTGTGCCCCCTTCCCCAAAGAAACTCTTCCCAGTCGTTTCCCCATTGAAGTTGTTTGAAGCAAAATGATCACACTCAAGTAGATAAAAATCACCCCATATTATTTTATTTGTAAACTAGTGCCCTCTTAACCACTGACCCCCTCACATCATCTTTGATCACCCATCAGCCCCCCACAAATTCAAGACTCGTAGATCCGCCACTGACTAATGTCATTTTTGTATACATTTCTTTAAACAAACATTAAAACATTTTTCTTTTCACCTGCTTATTTATTTATAGCCACTGGACTGAAAACCCGTCACGTTCATTTCTCGAATGGTGAGCCTACAATTGGCACATTGTGTTTGAACCTTGTGAAAAGTTGTCACCTGATTTTATAGAAACTATATTCATACTCATTCTAAATAAAATAAATCTTGATTATTTTTAAATTAATTAGCTTATTTTTACTGAAAAAAAAAGTAGAGTTATAATGACTTACGCTTTACCCTGTCTATCTGCTTTTTGCCATGACCACATCAATCCTATTGATGTACAAGAATATTCCTAAATAGAAGCTACATACTAAATATCCATACTAAATAATATTTGGAATATAAACAAAATAAGATTTATTTTATGATAGTGTATTGAGTATGAGTATGGTAGATGAGTATTAAGTATGGTCTGAGTATTGCTTGCTCTCTGTCACTGTCATTTGTTGTTCAAGTGGTCTTGTGGGTATTGTGAGAAACTGACGATCGTAAACTACAATTTTTATGGCAAATTCTTAATATGGAACAACATCAATATCTAAGGTTACTGACCAGTTAGTGACCACATGAAATGGTCATTATTCTGTCTTACGGTGCTTATTCCTCTTCCTTCACTCTGAATTCAAGTTCCTATCGAAATTAAACATTCGTTTATTCTGATTATAAAATATGTGGTTAATTTTATTACTGTATATATTATTACATCTGATTCAGGTAAATAAAGAGGTCTTCATGCTTCTTGAAACAAATTTTAGAGAAGCCACTGGAGTTACTACTATAAAACCAGAAATGGTTCTTTATATGATACAATTTATTTTCTGTTATTTATTCCAGTTCGATTTTGAAACCACTTTGGTAGCGTATTTCATCTATTTTTAAATTACAATTACAATCTCTTGTGGATTTTTTTAAAATTTACTTTTTGTTTACCATCGCACTGAATTTATATCTTATTATTCTCCAATTTTTGTAAAAACAGTGTATTATGCTGTACTGTAATTTTTTAGCTTGATTTGTGGTTTGTCCTTAGATTACATTAATTTGCATCATCCTTTCCCCTATCATCCTTACATATCCCTTTCCATTTTCTCATTGTTTTTTATTTTTTATTTTTTAGTATTTAATGATTTTTGACATTTAATAACAACCAATTTTGTACATGCTACTTTTTATACCTAATTTCTATTTAATTAATCATATTTGGACCATTTTACCAACGTGAACTATTGATTGTACTTTTGTTGCAGTTAAAATATTCAGATTAATAGGTTTGCTATTTTTAGCTTAATAATCTACTTTGATGCTGAGAACTATACTTTAGTTTGAAGTCATTCTGGTGATATTGTACTAAAAATATTTAATATAGACTGCTTACTTCAAGTAAGCTGTCAGCTATCAATTGAGTATTTCCTGTACTCAGTATTATTATGGCTACAGACCTGCCTTGCTAAAGGTAACATAATATTTACTGGTAACTAAATCTTCCCCAAAAGCCTTTTGTAATAATGTTACCACAAAGACAACTCATAACCATGTTGTAAAAATGTGTTTCCAATAACATGTCATAAGTTAGAATGTTTATTTGTACACGAGCTGGTAATTATGTGAAAGATAACCAAGGTTAAAGATTAAAGCACTGAATATAATAATGAACTAAGCCATGGGGTATTGCGAAGTATAGCAAGTCAGCTACCTACTAAACTGTAATATTAATATTAATAACAACAAATTAATATATGGATGTAAAATGTAGATTATTCGTAATATGATACTGACTCTAACCTACATAACCTACCCAAGGTTAAGAAGAATTACATTAGATATTTAAATGTGCTCATGTACGTCGAGTGGTGCTTATAGATTGAAAACATGGAAATCACATTAAATGACATATTTAACTTAACAGTGATGAATGCATGTGTTAAGAAACAGCACGAGTAGATAAATGTGAAAGTAAATTGAAAACACCCAAGTGAATAACATGATATCTCGTTGAAACTATATTCGTCTACCGAGATGAGGATGTAAATTTGTTTAATGCCAAAAATGAGATGCACACAACCAAAAGAACTTTTAAAAAAAATTTGAGCCATAAAATAATTATAATTATTTAATTATTATAATTATAATATTTTCAGTATTTGAAAGTAATTATATATTGTTAGAATTAATAAGTACGGTGTCTACCTGGCCTTCACTTTTTTTTTTATAAGAACACATAACACTGAGGCTGAGAGTGCTCAAAAAATAAGATCAAAGTAAGACAAAATTGAGGTTGAGTTAAAATGTCCAATACGTTTTTTTACCGTAGTTCCCCGGATATAATCCCACCCCTCATGAATGCGAAATTAGCCCAATTTTTTTTTTTTTGGGGGGGGGGGGGTGTGGGATTATACCCGGGGATTCCCTTGTTTGTGTACATGAACAGAATGAAATACGATCGTTTTTCGAAGTGGCAGATGCATTTGAACGAGTGCCCTACAATTCAATGGGCTATACAAAACTATATTCTGGTGAAGAAATCAGACTTCACTCGAACATCAAAGGGAAGGGAACACCTTAATTATAGTTAGTAGGCTTCAGCGCCTAACTAAAGGCCATATCTTGGTCTTACCTCGCGCTAGGCCAGCCTTTGCCTAAACTAGCTTTTTCATGCGTAGGTTTTTTTGCCTAGCAATAACCATCCAACCAATCACCATCACCAAAACACTGCGGTGTTGACTATTTTTAGCCGGAGCTGTGGAGAAGTTTTCATGCTGTGATAATGTGAATTAATGATACAATCAACCCAGTGGGCGGGTCTCTTTAGGGACGGACTACGGTATTGTCTATTTTATTTTTTTAGCGAGCTGTTTATTTTTAGCAACAGTAAACAAGAATGAGCTTTGTATTCAACTTTACGGCGACCAATGCCTAGTTTATTCAATTAGAAGAGCTTAAATTTTGCTGAATTCGTAGCCAATTCCTTTACATTTTGTGAGCATTTGTTAAATTTACCGATCTAGCCTAGGCCTGTCTCACCCAAATTATACCCTGGGACTTCTCCCAGGGAAATGCTTGTACACAAAATTTTTGCGTGAAGTCGGGGGTGGGACTATACCCGAGGAACTACGGAATTTAGGGAAAAAAAAAACCAAGTAGCAACAGTAGGTGTGACTGTAATACAGTACAGTTTTATACTACCGTACAATAATAATTTTCTGTCTTTGAAAAGTGTGTAAAATAAGAACAAAATAAGAAAAATTTTGAGCCTAAAATTGGCCAAAAACACTGAGCCTGGGAAAAATTTTACTGGTTTATAAAAAAGAAAGTGTACCTCCTATGATTTTATTATTGCTTTGTTTTATGACTATATTGGATTTTTAAGTTTTTCCGACTACTGAATCTAGTATTTCATACAGTATTGCTGCTTCATATTGCACCTATATTGGTAATGGGTGGCTTTGTATTTGCAGAGGTACATTAGAGTATTGGTTTGTTATTGCTAGTAGTGTAAATATTTGTATCTTTTATGTTGATGATGTCATTCCAGTATACTCTCAGAGAGCCTTTGTTACAGTGAACCCTCCACAGTTAACCACCTTTGGAACCTAAATTTTGGTATAGCCTCAGGGTTTGTGTGGTCCCCAATTAAACTGAATGAAGCAGAACGTTGGGATAACCCCTTCCCCCTACAGTATTTTTCTCAAAGATGCATTGTGTGCATGCAAGCTAAATATGTACATGACCACTGGTTTTAAGATGTTATCTGAGAAGACTTGCTTTTACCAACCAATGTCTTATGCTATTAATGGTGCCCCTGCATTACCGTTCAGCCATTTGAAAAACCCATGTATATCTAAAATACATTATGGTCTTTGCCATGTATGTTATGTTTCGCTCACATTAAAAAAATTCTAGGCTTTTTAAGATGAGCTATCCAACGTTGTGCCACGTAGTTGCCTTAATATCTATGTGCTTGCTTGCTAATGGTAATGCACTGAATGTGCAAGATTTTGTTGAAACAGCTGCTACATTTTACATGTGTCTACTCACGATGGGATGTCACTATAAAACTGAATGATGAGGGCCATTGAGGGAAATCCCCTCTTTTAAACCGGGACAATTTCATTTAATTGTTAGTTTAATTAGATTATTGGTTGACCTTATAAATGTGGTGATATTAGAAAAAATTAGTTATATTTTACATGACCTGTGGATTACTGTAATGTGTTGTACAACCTACAGTAGTATTATAAGCAGGAATATAGTGCAGTATCTGTGTTTGCCTTGTTTATCTTCAGATAACGGAATACTGTAGTCATATGATTTTATAGCAACACATGACCAGAATGCTTGTCTAAGTCAATCCCAATTAATTATGTTATTTATTGAAGGCTACTGTACTGCAGGTCAAAGATATTAGTATTTAAGGAACATATTTTAAATACAACTTTTTGCAATAATATTTGAATATTATGTTACATGTTTTGCTATGATTTTTGGTTGTTATAGTACCACTTCAGTGTATATTTAATCAATATTGCCAAAACCTTTCTCTCCATGATTGTGTTACTGCTAATTTCTTTACATGAAATGCAACTGTAGAATAACATTTTAGGATATTTTCAGTTATTTTTCAAATTTAAAGAGCTGATATTATGTGACATGAACTGTATTAGTGGTAAATTCATAATCTTTTGTAACTTCTCACTATTGACTGATTTTCTTTTTTAGAGAAATACTGTAGACAGATGTCATTAAAATATTGGTTTTTTTTGCATCAACTCATGTTTAATATATTTTTTTACAGATACAGTGAATAAAGAAGATAGTACACATCCTGCAGGAGAAAAAACACCTGGTAAAGAAAATCCAAAACATAGAAGGCCTGGTAAGATGATGTTTGAAATTCTTTTCTACATTATTGAAAAAATAAATTTGCAACGCTTTATTTGCCAAGCATAAAAAGAGCAACAACATTAATAGTGTAAAGTAAACATACTGAAACAGCTTTTGAGGCATAACACTAAAAATGCAAAGTGAACATAAAAATAAATCTTATGTACAATAATATAATAATGTAGAATACACAAAAACATTCCTCTCTTTTATGCCAAGCATGAAAAGAGCAACAACATTAAAAAGCTTGTGAGGTATAGGGTTATTCCATGTCAAATCACCCAAAAAAATTTTTATGGTTTAAATGTTGGCGGCCACACCCATTTTGGCCAATTTTGCCATATTTGGGCGGGCCGTAACTTTCAAAATATTGATCCGATTTAGCTAAAATTTGAGATTTGCGCATTCGATGCCAAACCCAACATGTATGTCAATTTTCATCGAAATCGGAGTCGGTCAGGTTATTTGAAATGGAATGACCCTATAGTAATAATGTTGACTGAACATAAAAACATATCTTGCGTACAGTAGTAATATAATAATGTAGAATACACGAAAACATTCATCTCTTTTATGCCAAGCATAAAAAGAGCAACAATAAAAAAGCTTGTGAGGTATAGTAATAATGTGGAGTGAACATAAAAACATCTTATGTACAGTAACATAATAATGTAGAATACACGAAAACATTCCTCTCTTTACATGCCAAGCATAAAAAGAGCAACAACATTAAAAACCTTGTGATCTATGACTAATGATGATTAATAATGTGAAGTGAACATAAAAACATATCTTATGTACAGTAACATAACAATGTAGCATACACACAAACATTCTTCTCATTGAACAGACAGTATTATAATGTGAGGTAAAACAGCAGAAAAAATATCTATGTACATATTATAATGTATGTTTCTCTTGCAACTGGACTTACTCAACAAACCCAGCTAATTGCCGCTACCCAAAATTGCACGCTACTTCTGTGCAATAGGTAGAACTAGTGTTTCTGTATGTTTCGAATGTTTAGGTTATCACTGTCACATGGTAAATTTGACTTGCTTGTCAGTTCCGTCAAATTGCAGAAAATAAAACATTTGTCAACTGAGTAGGACTAGTGATGCTTTAGTTGCGTACGATTGCAAGAGTCCGCATGTCGCCTCAAATTGCGCATCTCCTATTCACTCTAATCGCCAGGCCTGTTGCTAAAAGCCAACTGAGTTGAAATTAGCAATATGAAATTAACATACTGTAAAACCTCGAATTGAAGCCCCTTGGGCTTAATCTTGATTAGAAGCCCATCTCAAATTGGAGGCCCTCCTTATTTTGCAAAATTAGCCTAAAACAAAAGCCCATCTCGAAGGAGCCCATGGACTTCTTTTCAAGATAGCTTAGGCTTCTTTTCATGATGGTACTGTACATGAATTTCATAAAAACAAAATAAATTTAAAAGTGGCTTGGTTTACACAGTAGTTTAGGTGATTTAATGCCAGTTAATAAATGTCATGATTCAGATTGATGTTACAGTGGCCTTATTCTTTGTTTTTAGTATAGATTTTCAAAATTTACAGCATTCATTTTGAAAAGAAGCTCCCTCTTTACTTTGCAAAAGTAGCCTCGAAAAGAAGCCCATCTCAAAAATTCAAAAATAAGCCCATCCAAAGTTTGCAAAAAAAAAAAAAAAAAAGCTCAAGGCTTCACTTCAAAAAAAAAAGAAGAAGAAGAAGCCCAGGGCTTAAATTCGAGGTTTTACCACATATGCAAGTATATCTTAAATTAACAACATGATAGAAAACTTAATGCTATGCATAGGGTGCAAACATAAATAGTTTATGTTGAAATACTATAATGTGCATTAAATGGCCTGTGAAGATTAAACACAAGACATGATACAGTAGCCTACAACAACAGTAATAATGTAAAGTACTTAATAGAAACATACCTCATTGAACAAGATTAATAATGTGAAATGGACATAGCCTAAAGAATATTAATAACATGAAGTGATGAGAGACAGAAAAAGCTTCGTAACAAGATTCTAATGTGAAATGAAGAAGATCATTATGAATAATTCTGTTTGCAATCTAGGGTCCCAAGGTGCTGGTGTATGGAGCAGTACCACTGGTTCTTTTTGCTGTCTCCTTTTTGTCTACTTTAGTTGTTTTCTCTTTGTTAGTATTAGGATATTTCTTGGTTCTAGATTTTTATTCTTCGAAGACTTTGCATTTTCAAGTGCATAGAGACTGTAATATGCGCTACAAATACAGTGGATATTAACATTACCATAAAAATGCCAACTAATATTTTAAAAATATACTATAGGAAAACAAAACTTTCAATTGCTGATATAAAATAATCACACAAGTTCAATTTCAGTTTATTATAAAGCAAAACTTGAGGGCTTCATCTCATAAGTTATTATTTATCTTAATATAGTAATTCAGATAAATTTTACAAAGTTCTTTCTTTTTTAAATTGAAAGCTAATAATAAATTAGTTTATAAACTAAATAAGAGAGACTTTCTGCAGGCAGTCTTTTAACCTGATAGTGAACCAACTAATTTAATTTCGACTTTGCGAATGAAACAGTTTAAGAGGTAGCTTACAACTATCAAGTTTAAACTATGGTACCTGTGACCTCATTAAGGCCACTCATTATGTTGATTGGATGTAATAATACACAAGAGGAGTTGTAGTGGATGGACGTTTAACGCCTTGTAATGAACAATTTATGCTGATGGCTTACATTTTTAAAATATGAGATGGACCTGTAAATAGTTAAGCTGAAATATACCTGGCCAGACTAAAAAACAAATAATTGAAGTTATGTTTTTATAATAATATTGCCCATTTCATAACCTATTTATTATATACTTTGGTTTGCACCTTCTAGTATGTAATGATAGTTTGCAAGATAATCATTTCATGTAAGTTTAAACTTCGTATTCAAATATATTCTGTACACAAATAGTAACAATAGTTTATAACCTGGTTTTTCAGTTAATTCTTAATAGTGGTTAATGGTTTATTGTTGATAAAATAAATACTAGGTAATAATAATGATGATATTTAGAATAGTATATCCTGTATTACTAAAAAAAAAACTGCACTCATATATGAAATATTCTATTTATGACCATGGTACTGTGATTGACAAATTTTGTTGAACCTTTGCAAATTGAATAAAAAGAAGTATATGTAATTGAATAAATGCACTTTTTCCTTAAACTTGTTGTGTCAAAGGGAAATAATTATTCTTGGAACACACAGCTTTTGGCTAATGATTCATTGCTGTTGGGCTGCACACAATGCCTCAAATACCTCAATTGAAATCGTTTAATTCCTTCCGACCTCCGAACATGCCATTACAACATCTAACTCACAAAGAAGGTTTAGAAGATTTCAGTGGCTTAGATACCAGAATTTAGAAAATTGTTCATCACACTTATGCACTCAAACCAAAACAGTAGATCAAATAAATGAGGCCAAGTAAGAAAGACCCAATGTTTTTCTTCGGAGAGTTTTGAAAAAAAGGAAAATTATGCCCTATTCCACAAAAGGCAGCTACCAGACATGCAAAATGTAGGCCTATTGCAGGCCGTTAAAACACTCATTGCATGCATGGATATTTAGATTCTGCATGATTTTCCTGTTTTGCCTTATGATAAGTAAAAATAAAGAAAGTGGTACAAACAAAAACATACATTGCAGGAAGAGACAAGGAACACGTTATTTTTTTAATTTGGCCTAAGGTGATATAAATCTTAGAAATACATATTTGATAACCATTGCCAGTAAAGTAAAGCATTATATTAAGCTTGGAATTATATGTTTTTACCTAGGGAAAAATAAATGAGATTGTTATGGATGATATTTTCTAATGACTCTCTTTAAGAAAGTAAATGTTTTGACGGAAATATTTGTTATGTGTTCGCAGTCGAAAGTGTGCCCAGAGGGATAGTCTTCACGTATGAGTTGATCACATGATCAGATCTGGCCTCCAATGATTCCTACAAATGATGGCTATTTATGCATTTATGAACATGTTCTGCATAATCTCTGTTAGTTCTTCTTCCTATCCAGTTGGTATACATGTTACTTTCATGATATCAGTATCTGAAAATCTTGCAAATGTTTGGAAAGATTAACATTTATTTTTATTAATTTCTACAAGTTATAAATTATCAGTAATGAAACTCTGAAAAAAAGAATGAAAAATAGATACATATGCCAAAATTTGAATTCAAACACTGTTTGAAGACTTTATGAAGCTCTGTCCAAATCGTGAAGATTTATGTGCTAAGCACTATGATTTGCCCATAGGCCCAGTCTTGTATCTAGTGTGTGCACGTCAAGGAGCACGTCCCTCAAATACTCAGTCGCCCCAAAAAATATTCATGTACATGTATAGTTAAAAATCACCTCAAATCACCTTATTTTGCGAGCTAGTGCTCTCTCACCTATCATCAAGCCCCCACTTTACCTATGCCACTTCCCCCATTTCCAGACCCTTAGATACGCTACTGCATATAGGCCTCTATGAGTAAAATAACACACCAAACTTTTTTGAGAAAATCACAGGTACTTGGAACATAAAAGTGGATAGTCAGAACTATTCGTTTTGTCATGTAATGATATTTTCGAATGTCGAAGAGGATTACGGTATTAAAATTTATTATTGTACCACAAAGAGAGTATGTCTCTAAAAAGTGACACCATTACAATTTCAAAACATTTTTTTAAATAAATTGATTTTTACTGAACTGAAATAGGAAATGTAGTCATGATTTTTGGGGAAACAGAATGTGGAGTGTCCAATGTCCGAAATAGGTATTATGGGAAAGTAAGGTGATATGTGCCATTATATTTATTAACACCAATTTTAACAGGAAGGACTTCAAAATAAAGCACATATGTTGGGACAGAGCATCTCTATTCATTTCATATAAATAGTTTCAAATAAAAAAAATGGATTATAAATTAAATGATTTTCCTGACCGTGGTACATCCTTCACTAAAAACATTGAAATGGAACATTCTAGACAAGTCAGCACAGATCTCATTTGCAAAACGAATGAGCATGCGTGGCAGAAAACAAGGCAATATTTTGTGGACATGTTTACGAACAGGATCTACGTGGATTGCTTGTTATTGCAATTAAGCTTACAGTAGTCTAAATTGTTAATTGCAAAAGCTATACAACAAGGTATATTTTTACAAGTACTGTATTGTCGAATACTAATGGACATAATAATATTGTTCATTAAACATATTGTAATTTATTAATGTTTTCAATGTTTGTTACATGATGTATTATTGGCAGTTTATTTACATATATGTTATTTTATATTTGATTTTTTTTTTAAAGAATTACATACAGTTAGGATTATACCTACTGTTCATTCTCTTCAAAGGATTTCAATCATTCATATTAATTATTTAGAGTAATTATTTCTATTTTGACAAATAGAAAGTATGCTTAATGTTTTGAAATGTTTATTTTACAGTTATAGATGCCTCCAAATTGAAGGACAAGTCTGATCGTCAAAAAAAGTACAGAAACAAGCAATTAGAACTACAAAAGAAATCAATTGATCAACAGAAACAAACTAAAGAACAGAAAAGGCAGGCAGTAGAAGAACGTAGAAAGAAACAAGACGAAGAGAAAAAGGTTAGGCAACTAAATACTTATTAATATATTATATACCTAACCTTGGGGAATAATGATTATAATATTTCATATTGTACAAATGCTGAAAGTCCTTGAGTAAAAATACAGTGAAGCATGGTAGAGTAACAATGTTGTAATAATAAATTGAGTATTGAAGAATAATTCCCTAGCTTTAATTATGTCCACTAACAGTGGTGGAGCCAACATTTCCCTCACGGCCTAAGCTGTCTGATAGGGAAGTCTGAAAATATCTGGTGTGGTCAGGGAGAGAAACCTTGTTGGGTGTAAACAGCTAATTATCCGGTCACGTAAACCTGAGAATTTTGGGCCATTTTAACATGTTTGTAGCTAACCGGCTTTGGCTCTGTCCCTCGTGGTGCTGCCAATGCCCATGGATATCTTAATTTGTAAGCTAGACAGTAAGGCATTTAATTTAAGCAAGTGGTTTGAGGTCTGTCGTCATAGAATGTGAACACAAAAACCTATCGCTTAATTCTTTTTACATACCATACTTTGAATCTCTCATTTTCATGCAAATGTACTAATATTTTGTTGTTTTCACTTGATTTTGTCTCTTCTATAGGTATACCGGGAGTCTATAGTACGTCGTTCCATTGAAAGGTCTCAGAGTGCTGGAAGTCGTGAGAAAAGGCGGTCTTGGGACCCAGCTAAGCAGATTCCAGCGAGTGAGCCACCTAGAGGCCGCAGCATGGAACGTTTAAATGATACTCCGAATGAAATGGTACCTGCCGGTATCGGAGTCAATAAAAGGCTGTCTTCTTCCGTGTCAACACTATGGAACCCAGTGCAACTAGTACGACTAGGACCTAATCAAGACGACTGGTTCGAAGTTCACACGCCACGACCAAAGGCACTACGGAGCCCATCACCAGGCATCGATGATCCTAATTCTAGCACGTACACCCCTCGTCATCATTCGTCATCCCCTAATCTTGCATGTAAGCTTTCACTAACAACAGTTATAAGTAGAACTGCATTACTACTCTTAACTAGCAGGATATTGCCATAGGGCAGAGGTACATAGACATTTAAATTCTAATAACGAGAGGCATTATTACACATTAGATGTGCGATTAGTAGTTGTTAGAGAGTTGCATTTGCATTTATATCTGGTGCTATAGAAGTCTTTGCTATGTTATATTTTATTATTATTATTGATATCATTATTCTTAAAATAGTGTAATAGACAAAAGTTCATTACTAGTCTGTATATTTCTATCATTATTAGTGATGTTTATCTTTTTTTGATTCAGGGATATTTTTATATTTTTAACCCATAGGTTTAGCTTATTTTTAAATGAATAAAATTTGGATACTGTAGAAATTATTGTCAGTCTTAAAATCAGTTGTAGGCTAGATACTTCCCATTTTTGTGTTTATTGAAATTGGAAAGAGGCTTCACAAACCTCTTATTATTACTATTACTATTTCACTAATTTAAATTTTTTTTAAGCATGGCCAAACCTGACAACTTTACTTGATTTCAACTCCATTCCTTATGTTATTCTTATTGATTTTAAGTTTCTTTACTCATTTATTTTCAGTTTTTGTTAAGTTTTCTTTTCCTCATTTTCCTTCTAGTAAATACATCGTGGGTGAGAAGTACCCTAGAAGCCTTGATTGAGCTCCCTCCTCATGTTCAAGGTTCCTCCTAAGTTGTCATCTCTTTCAATATTCATATTACTTGTCGCTTTTCCTTATCTATTACTTAGTTCTTTCATTATTAATTATCCCTTTTTCTTATGTCTTGTTTCAAGGCCTTTTCTAGCTGTATTTATTCTTTCCATATATTTTCATTCATAATTTTTACTCAACAAATTTGTGCTTCCATTTCTTTCTGTAGATTCATTCTTTCAAATTTATTTTCATCTTTCCAACCTTCATTTTTTGTGACTGTTAGTAGCGTTATTTGCTTTTTTTGTATTTGTAAGCTGTAGACTTATACTGCTTGTTAGGTATTTGTGAGCTAGTGTAGTTCAGGTAATTTATTTGAACATTTGAAGGCAAGTATTATTAATGTTATTTCTATGCAAGTTATTTTGAACTAGATTATTGTATTCACAATGGGTAATCATTCCCAGTAGATATATCATACACCACATCTGTTCAGTTTGTCTGTTTCAGCACTATTGTGGTCTTCATCAACCAACTTAGCTTTTCTTTTTTTTTAAATAAAACAATGTAGCCAAGTAGGTATATAAGGGATAGTTTAAATAATGTCTTTAGATTATATGCTTTTTTTTTTTTAAATAATAATAATAGGTACATTTTTAGTATTATGATTAGTAGCATTCATATTTATTATCATTATTTTACTATTATTTTTGGAGCTTAGTCATAATGTATCTATTTTTCTATCATTATTTTTAAATGAAATTATATTAGTTTGCAATTACAATAGTGCTTTTAGACATCTTACTCATTGTTATTATTAGTCTAAAGTTGATTTACTTTCCTCAACTTAACTGTAAGTCTCATATTTTTATAATCCATTTAAATTGAATGTTTTCTTTCATTATCACATTCAATATTTTTTAGACTCTTATTAGCATGCAATTATTAATTTGATGATGTATACATTGATGTTTGATATTACATATATACTATATACTTATCAGCTTACTTTCATATTAATTTAATTTTAGTTTCATTTGATTTTGAATTTTTTTATGCATCCTAACCCTGTTTTGCTTTTTATGTTTGAACATCTACATATAAACTGTGTTTGTGTCAGTTTTGTATGATTGTAACACCTAATCATACCAAGAGAATAGTGTCCCATATCAAATAATTCTTACAAATTATATACCAATTCTGGTTTATTTTTTTCTCCATGCCCAAAGTTTAATATAACAAGACTATTAATTTTTAAGTATACTTGCTAATATATGTGTAAAGAAAAAAAAAAGAAGCATAATCCCCATTTTAACTAATTAAAAAAAAAAAATCAACCCATTTTATTCATTTTTCTACACATTAACATGATTACAGTTTCAAAGAATTGATATTTTAATTATTAAAATAAGTGCTAAATTTCAGACTTTGTGTCTTTATCCCCAGTCAGGAAAAAAAATATTTATATTAATTTTGTGCTGCAATATTTTATATGATAAACATAGTGGGCAACTCAAGAAAACAAATTCTAAAAAGTCTGTTGAGGTTTGGTTTGTACACACAACTAAAATTTGTTCACTGTCGTTAACAGTTTTTGAAAGTGCAGAGTACTTGGAGAATGAGTTTTGTGAGGAGGACCAGACAGGATCTAATCCCCAGAAACACAGATATGCCGCCAGCACGGCCAGCAGTCGTAGCCGAATCTGTAAATTTTGTTGGATTTCTAAATGAATTGACGTGTTCTTCCCTTTGCTCACCTGTCTTTCTCACCTGCAGTAGGGCCTCTTGGTCTGCATACTTGCTTACAGTGAACACTTGCTCCCTGATAACACCACACTATATCTAATAACTCCTACATCTGTCGTATTCAAATACTTTACCACCAAAAAAAAAAACAACTTGTAAAACAAGACAAGGTGATCACAAAATTGAACAAATTCCAAACAAAAACTTCAGTCTTTAGGAACAGATAAAAGAATGTTATTAGTTAGTAAATTTGATTAGAGCATTCTTAAACGTTCTGCACCATATTTTTTCTACCTTTTGCTTATTCCTTTGTGGCAAGCAGCGTTATTTATGAAAAGACATGCGGGTGGAAATTGTAAAAATATTCCGTAAATAATTGATCTTATTTCATAAATTAGCCCATATGATTTAAAAAAAATACCAAGACAAAAATACTTATTTAATAATTCTTGTTTAAATTTTGTTGTGGCTGTGATCAGAATTGAAATCAGAGAGACTATATTTTTAATTTTCCTTTGGAAGATATGTTTTGGTTTACTATATTATGTGCAAAAACATACATTGACAACCATCAGTCCCGTAAATTACCATATGCCAGTTCAAGAATGCACATTTATATAGATGAGGACACCTGAATTGATTCTATCCTTTGTGTGCAGCTAAACTTTCTGTAAAATTTCATATATTGCCATAGATTATTAAAATAGTTAATTAGTTGTTTTAATTTTTTAGCAAATATATTTTAACTGTTGTTATACATAAGTAGTAAACAGACTCATCTACAACTAACCATCTATATAATTGTTAACATCGTTAGTATAATATGATAATAATATTAATAATAATAATATTATTATTTATTTTAATTTTTTAATTTGAAACTTAAAATGCCCAGGATACATTTTCAGGCTGGTGTTAAAACCTGTTTTAACAATGGTCTAGAACAATAAAATACATGCAATTATGTAACTAATGTTGAAATGATACAAAGTTTGATATCAGCCAGAATATGGAAATTGAATTTCTTTATCTTTCCCATAAATTGAGATCTCTCAAATTTAGGATTCCAAGTTTTTTAGAAATTCTTTCTTCTGTTTGTTATTTGGTATTGGGTTCCCTTCCATATTGCTTTTCCCTTGTTTGTTAACTGTCCTATTCTTCAGAATTGGGTTCCCTTCCTTGGTAATAGGTTTTACAGTACTGTTCCAAAAACCCATCTTTTGCTTTATAAGACATTTTGTAGGCATTAACTTGATGTCTTCATTCACAGGATTATGCTTTTATTTGTAAACATTAAACTTAATTTTAAAATGTTTGGCTTCTCTATTGGGTCTTTCTTCCTAGCTTTAGACTTTAGTCCAAATAGGATTTCCTCTGCAAAGGATTGTGGGATATTGTTGAATGCTATAGTAATCTTGATGCATGGCAAGCTTTTTCAGAGGGGTGTACGTTATGTATCGTTTCCGTTAATTGTTATATCAAATGTTAATAGAACATGTATTGACATATGAATTGGAAGAACTCTGGTACATGGGTTTTTAACTATAAATTTTAATATAGATTATTAATCCTCTTTTAATTGTATTTAGAAATTTTATTAAAAATCTTTTCCCCAATAACTTTAAATTGTTTTAAAATTATAAATACACTATTAAATTTGTGGGTACCTCAAATATTCAGCCATTTTTTTAGATTGCTTTTCATAATTTACTATAAATTGCCGTAGATTTATTATGGGTTTATAGTGGACTATGAATTCACTGCTAACACATAGCTGTAGCATAGTATTCCCTATACCAGATTTTGTCCAAATAACATTTTACTGAGTACTTGTTGGATCAACAGTTGCTTGGTCTGTGATCCATAGCAAAGGTACAGTTGCATGCTGTGATGTGCGAGTGACAAATGCCTGCATTTTAATATATGGATCATAGGTTTGGCAACTGATTCCTCATTAATCCCCACCTAAAAGGAAAAAGCAACAACAAAATTTGCTCCGCTTAAAATAACGAACAAAATCCTAAATTCTGTAAAAAAAATCTAAACATCATTTGAATTAGATAGTATAATACATTCAATATTTCGACATTAATTATGTCATCATCAGGAATGATGATGAAAGCCTTTCATTTGAATTAATTTTAGAAGTAATATCATAACTAATTTTTAAAATACAATTTTATATCATGGATCGACACTGTGAACTAGGTGTCAGTTGATTTATTAAAATATAAAATTAATTTTTGTCATCTGAATCTAAACTGAATAATTTGCCATATTAAGGCACAATTAAAACCTTAAGATGAATATATCCATCTCATAGAAATATAATTCAAACATATTTCGAATAAAGCCTTTCATTATTATTCTCCCCTGTAGGCTTTTGATGAGAATTTTGAATACCGGTTCATTGTCTACATTTTTTAAGTGGGTCACACACTTTTTAATTCCTATGCAGCATTCAGCCGCATTTGCATAATTCTAAAATGTACATAACTTGTTTTTTAATAGTGTCCAAATCGTATATATTACTCAAATATTTTCCAATGAATAAATTTTAATGGTTTGTTTTGATCAATAGATGCCACTAGGAGGCGTTATAGGGGTGAGTTTCTCTCGTTGACATCATTATAACCCAGTTATATTGTATCGTCATAGAGCCAGTAATGTCTCGTCACCCAACTTTCTGTCTAGTCATATAACACAGTGCTGTGTATTGTCACTTTATTGTCTAGTTTGTTGCTGTTAGTGTCATCTTAGGAAGGGTGGAACACCATTCTAAGCCTGCCTTCTGTCTTTGTCACTGTCCTTTTCTCTCAGTAAATTACATAAACATCTCATCTTTTTCTGCCTAGTATGATCAAGTGGAGTTTGATCAATTACTCTTTTACATATTATAGATATAGATTTTTTAACTGATATTTTATTGCTACATACACAATGCACCCTTCAATTCGAGACCCTCTCTAATTCGAGACCACTTTTTTCAAGAACCAAATAACATTTACACTAAGTAGAAACTGAACCCTGAGACCACCTTAACTGGTCTCGAATTGATTATGGGTTCACAATTTTAAGAACTTCATTTTATTACAGATGAGAGGTGATACAACTTGTAATAATTTAATCATTTTTTAAATAAATTTATTGTAATAATGTAAAACCTACTGATTTGCTTATTGCTCATTTAATAATTTTATAATTAAATACAGAATGCAGTATAACATACCAAAATATAATTTGTAATATAATGAATAATATAGTGTAAGAGTGATTATAATTATATAATATAGTATAATGAAAATTTAATTATAGATTCATGAAGTATAATATACGGATAATATACATGTGAAGAAACTTTGGTAATGATTATGTAATATTATAACTATAATATATATTATTGAGTAATAGTAATACTATTAAAGGTTGTATGTTTCCTCTAGTCTGGAACATTCATCTGTAACTGAATGGAAATATTTTGAAATGTTAAGTATGTTGAGGTCCTCCTAAGGTATTATTTAATGGCGTGTGATATATGGTAACCTATAAAGGATTTAATGCTGTAATGGAAATTTTCTTAGTAATTATATATTACGATAACAGTCTAACAATTAAAATAATAATTTTTAATAATGAAAAATAATGTTAACTTTGATAATCTTCATAATAATGAAAATAAAACTACACTTATTATTTTTCTTTTCTAATCAAACTATTTATCATTAATACTACAATCGGAGATCCATATGAGTATCTTATTTGTTATTGATTATTATAATGATAATATATTAATGATGTTGCCAATACATTAAGCAACCTAATTTCACCTTGTGACTAATAAAGTTTCTCTTATAATGATAATAACAATAATAGAGAATAATAATAAAAACAATAATGAAAATAAATAGTTTACAATGATATTGTTGGTGGTGTTGACATTTTATGAATAAAGGTATGAGAATAATTTATTCATAATTGACCTTTTAATAATTTAGAATGCAAAATTTCTAGACTTCCTTTAAATTATGAAATCAAATACTGTATTTTCATAATAGTAAACAGAACCTAACAAATGTGCTATTTCCATCGCATTTTAAGCTGATGATCAGCTCATGAAAATCTTGTGAAGCACAATGTCAAGGGGCACTTTACCTTATATGCAACATAATTAAAACCTATTTATTATTGTAGTTTTAGATTTCACACCCAGCATCAGCAATTTTTATCATCAACAGATCATTTCAGCTTTGTTTTGTTTATTTTAGCAGAAATCTGTTTCTGCTTAATGCAAGATGTTTCACTGCTTAATTTACTGTTACTTCTTGTAGTCTTGTATTTTTTATTCCTAATGCATGTCAAATTTTTAAGCATCCAAATTTTCTGCTTTTTCAGACTTTTGAATCTTATTGTATTGTGTTTATCCCCAATGCATTACTTCATACCTATTTAGAGACCACCCATATCTTTAGTTGTAATTTACTGTTTTGTTTTGTTACTTGTTCTCTCATTTTTGTCTGTTTATTTTTAGTTAACAGTGATTTTTTTTTTATTAGAATATATATATAATTATGTTTTTTCTTTAATACTTAAAAAAAAAAATGTTAAAAATCCCCTAATTTTCTTTATTTTTGTAGCTACAACTTCCCAAAACAAATCATCACCTAGCACACCCATACGGAGGACTCCAACTCCAGGGAGTCGTGGAAGAAGCACAGAGAGGAAGACAACTGCTCCAGTGCAACCAGCCTCAACAAGTGAAACACCAGCTAAGGTATTGCATTAACTTTTAATATTCAAATGATAAATTATTATATAGTATATTAAATTTTATGTATGTATTCTTCTTGAGATCTTAATAAATAAAGTATATACAGCTTGCTGTTTTTTAACTTGTATACCCAACTGTCCAAAAAATAAGTCAGATTAATACCACATAGAAAACAAATGTAAAGTTTGTAATGTAGAAGAACATATTTCCAGGCTCTGTGAAGCGTCTTTTTTTCTGAGATGATCATTCACACACGACTAGTTACCTTTTATACGAGTGTGCAAATTTGAAACGAATGCCATCTTCAGATTTGTGTTCACCCCAGATATGGCAATTTCTTTTGTGCCAGGCATGAACACATTTGCTTCAATGTTACTACTGTATAATCGTTTTAACATAATCATTAGTTTGCACTATATATTTCTTCCATTATTTTCAGACTCAAAGACCAGCTTCTCCTAAGGGGTTCCGAGCACCTTCTCCAAAGCCATCACCAGGCACACCAACTAGTTCTAGTAATTCCAGTATGCATGTTAGACAACCGTCACTACGGTTAAAGAATAAGACAACTGTAGATGCTAAGAGCCCAACAGATAAAACTAGTAAAACACCAGGTAAGTAAATGCATTAAAATCAGCATTATATTTATACACTTGTAACAATGATAATCCAGCCAACGAAAGTGGTCATTTGATATATAACCATGTCTTATTATGGAGCTTGGAGAATGGAGAGCTGATGATTCACAACCTTTTATGCTTTATAAAGTTACTTTATGAGGTTTAAGGAATATAGCTATTCATTTTTGACTGTTGATGTTCTAAACCCAAGTTTTTTTTTTGTAATGCTTGCGGAGTAGAGTTGGAAATAATTGTGATGAAATCTAAAGAAAACTTTAGATTAGAAGTTTATTTGATCAAATAGCTCTCGCTTTTATCTTCGAATCACACATTTGTTTATTCTGAAATGGTATTTTTGATATATTTTGTTTCTTCAGTTTCCAAATCAAGCCAACCTCCTCCAATTAAGAAGGCTTTGACTCCTGCCAAATCTTCTCCAACAAGAACTCCTAGAACCCCAAGTACTAACAACAAAACTGTGGCAGCTAGTAAAACACCAGCAGCTAGTAGAACACCTGCTGCTAGTAAAACACCAACTACTACTACTACACGGACATCAGCAGGCAGTAGAACTCCAACATCAACAAAGACGCCAACATCCAAGCCCCCGGCAGCCAATAAAACACCAACTGCTAAACCAGCAGCAGCAAAATCGCCAACTGTACCTAAAGCAACACCAATAACTAAAGCAACCCCAACCCCAAAAGAGACACCCAAGGCTCCATCTCCAACAAAAGAAGAAGCACCTAAACCTGATGTGCCACAAGTTACAGAGCCAGAAAAGAAAAGTATGTCAAAGACCAATAACAATTGTTTAAATATTATGTATTTTATGACTCTATATTCCTCCATACTGTATATCACTCATTGTAAACATTTCATTTCTTCAAAATCAATTAATTATGATCTAACTTATTGATGATTTTGTTTAGGTTCAGATTCTGAGACAAGTAGCCCACCACCTGAGTTGTCAGCTGAAGAGAGAGCCAAGCAGGCTTTGGCAGAGAAGAGGCGACAGATGCGAGAGAAAGCTGAAAGAGAAGCTGAGCTTCAAAGGCTACAAAAAGAACAAGAGGAGTATGTTTTATCAATTTCTGATATTTAGAACATTTTCAGATTTTGGTGCAACCATTTGATACAATTGAATTTGTGGTTGAAAATTTAACATGTAAGGTAGAGCTTCCTGGTCATTCTACCAAATCTGAAGGGGATCTCAAAGGTTTACATGTGATCTACTGAGAACATGGTCTGCCTGGCATTAAAATTCAAGGAATTTTAAGGTTTAGACAAAAAATCCACAGATAATGTAAATTAATCTAAATTTTAATTAATCACCTCCTTGTACTCATTCATGTAGGAAAGAAGAGGAAGAACGTCTACGAAGGGAGGAGGAAGAACGAATAAGAGAGGAAGAGGAGGAACAAAGATTGGCAGAAGAATATAGGAAGGCAGAGGAAGAGAGGTTACAAAAGGCAATAGAAGAGCAGCAAAGAAAAGAGGAAGAAGAAAGACTACGAGCAGAAGAAGAAGAAAAGAAGGTACAAATTTGTATTTTGTTCATTAAAGAACCTTTAATATATGTTATAAAGTCAATTGTGACGTCATCACTGCAACTCCCAATGTTATTTGCCTATCCCCCACAGTCCACTAATTTTTCAATTAGTGGACGCTTGGCTTGATTTTTTTTAGGTTCGTGTGCAAAAAAAATTCCTCATTTTTCTTTCGTCTCAGCGAAGATATCGCGCACCGCAATGAAAATTGAATTGTAATTGAAAACTTTCATAAAACAAGGTTAATTAGAACCTGAAGAAAGCTACTTTAAATTCAATATCAAGTATGAACAATTAAGCAATTCCTTAAATCAATGAACCCTAATAAACTAAACAAACGAATATTCTAGACCTATTTTAAAGACTCAAGGAACGACATTAGATGTAGGCCTACGGCCAGGCTGGAGGCAGCCGAGGCTTCCTCCTCTAGTAGTACTACTAGCCTAGCCCAGGCCATAGCCTAGCGTAGTTATGAAATCATCCCACAATTTTAACCTGTCTGCACCGACCAAAAAATTAGTGACAGTGACTGTATTCTCTCTCGAATGCTTTAAAAAATGTTTATTTCTTTGAAAAATGTGAAACATTACAAACTAGTTCTTCTAACACAATGCAAATTACAAAATAGTTATTCACCGTATCCGTACTGTGCTGTAGTTAAACGCGTACTGCAGGAGCACAACAGCATACGCACCGCTAAAATGATTGTAAAATAATACGCACACAGTATACTGATCATATCACTATAGCAACCGATGACTGCTACAACATTTGGTTATCACAACTAACCTTAAAAGATGGTGATTGACTTATAAAGCAATTAGTAGAGCATGCATCGTACACTAGCGGACAATTATTATACTTAGGTTAGATTTAATGCATTCACAAATTTCCTTCGGGCCTAGCAGGCCCTCAGGAAATTTTTCAAGCATTAAATCTAACCTTTGTATAATAATTTTCCTATAGTGTACTATGCGGAGCTCTATTAATTGCTTATTATTGGCATCACATATTTTCTAGCCTTATGCATCTTTTTACTATTTCATAATTTGATAGTCTTTTCCATCTTAATAAGAATTTGATTTTCTTCTAGAATTTTTATGGAGAGTTGTAAGACAAATTTTGGAGTTTGCAGGATTTTAACCCATGAATAATATTAATTTACCCTTGATTTTAGAGAGAGGAGGAAGAACGAATAAAAGCAGAAGAAAAGAAGAAAAGGGAGGAAGAATTAAATGAAAAATTAAAGAAAGAAGAGGAAGCACGAGATGCAAGGAAGAAGGTAATTTTTATGCTTATTTTATTGGGGGTTTTTTCCTCTATCATTGTTATGGTAGCTATATATTAAGTGATAACACTTAATGAATACTATTCTTCTATTAAATTAAAAAATTGTAGAGCTCCCTACTAATGAATTCAGCTTAGATATTAGCCTTGGATGCATTTACTTCTGCTAAGGCAATTTTATGTGTGTTTGATAGCTCATCTGAACTCACTTGTGTGCAGCAGGCTTTAGTTTGTGGAGTCCTATTGATATATGCAGTATTTTATATCATGTCATTATCTTTGAATCATAGCGTGTAGATGAAATTATGAAGAGAGCAAGAAGAAGCACTCCAGCTGTCAAAAATGATGTAAGTTTTTTTGAATATGCCTCAAACTTAAACACTAAATCTGATAATTGAAAGACCATGCTTTACTTCTCTGTCACTTGCTGATAGTAGAATAAACTTGAGTGATACTTTATGCCTTTCTTCGTAGGATTTTGTTTTGATTCTTTTGAATATTGAAATTTCATTCTCAAAATGAAGTTCTTTATTATTAAACTACTGTACTACTACTTATTGTATAATTAATTGATGTGTTTTGTTTGATTCCTGTACATTATAGTATAATGATATTTGATCACATATTTTAATTGGTTATTTATACTTTTTATAGGATGAACGTGACAACAGAGATGAGGATAAAGACATCGATACTAAAGCAGAAAAAGAAAATGGTATTGAGGGCAGTATATACAACAATGATAATGACAAATATAGGAATTGTTTTGGAAATGGATCAACAGTAGCCAGCCATGAAACTCTGTCAGGTGAGATGGAACAAGACATGGAAGCCGTGCAGGAGGGAGTGATGGGAGAGGATGACACAGCTTATGGGGTACGGGAAAGTCCTGATGTGGTACCAGAGGGGGGTTACCTTGAGGGATTTCCTAAAGAGAATGAAAGTGAGGGGGAAAATGAGAATACCAAGTCTGGTGAACAGTTGTATGAGAAAGCTGTGACAGAAGAAGTAGGTGAGAAAGATGATGTTGTGTTGGCATCCAAAATAAAGGATGATAGTTGTGAGTTTGAAGACCAGGAGGAAGCTTTGATTGGTGAGACTAAACAGCCAGTGAAGTTTGCTGAGATAGTAGCAACGCCTTCTTACCCAGTAGAAAGTGAGGTACTAACATCTGAGAAAGAGGAAGTTGGTGTTGAGGCTGTGTTGACTTCTGATAATAAAGAGGCCTTAGGAGATCTCCTTGGTGAGTTTGAGAGTGACAGTGCCGATGGTAATGTTTTCAGTACACCAAAACTAGAGAGTAATGTAGAATTTGACCTCTTAGGGACAGATGTTGACAAAGGTCTAGGTAGTGAAAATGATGGAAGTAGTGTTGATGTTTTTGTAGAGGATTTAAATCAGTATGATAGTTTGAAACACCCTAAGCTTGCTTTTTGCCACCAAGAAAGTGATGTGACTGAAGATGATGATTCAACTGCAGCTCAGGCTGGAGATATTGACACTTCAGCGGGTGAAGCTGATCCTTCAGTTGGTGATATTGACATCTCAGCTAGTGATGTTGACCTTTCAGCTGGTGATGTTGATATCAGACACCCTTGTGATCTTGACACAGCTGGTTTTGATACTAAGTCCAACTTTGAGGACTTTACATCAGATGATAGAGTGGCAATTCACCATGATTCTCACGGTCTCCAAGATATCCATGAGGAAGGGTCTGAAGAAGATGAAGAAAACAGTGATGTTAAAAATGAAGCTGGTGAAAATGAGAATGTTGAAAGTGATTTACTAGAGTCATGCTCATCTGATAGGTTTATTGTCATTGATGAAAAATCTCTACAAGAGGGTGATTTGAATTCTGGTGATGAATTGGTTGAGGAAGAGGAGGAAGATCTTCCTCAAGATGATGACCATGTAATCCCTGTTGTTGAAACTAGTTCTCATGATAAACTAGTTGATGATGCAGAGGTGGGAACCTCTGAAAATGAGAAGGTTGTGGAGGTATCAAAAGATGTAGGCACAATCCCAGAAATCACCTTAGATGAGGTAGAATATGTCCATCAAAATAGCTCAGGTGATGAAGAAAATGAAGATGATAGAAAAGAGGAGGATCAATATAGAGGAGGCGACAGTGAGGATGAAGGTATAGTTGAAGAAACTTCAAACACTATTGCACATGAGGAAAAAGTTGAAAGGGATGAAGAGAAAGTTAGTGAGGAGGAAGATGTTGGTGATTATGATGCTAAATTAGAAAGTACCTTTGATATAACTGGCCATTCACATTTTGATGATAGTCACAAAGATGAACCTGAAACTATAAATGTGGAGGAGAATGATGAAGTAGTTGAGGGTTCAGTAAGAAATGATTATGGTAAGGAAGATGAATTAGTAGAGAGTCCACACTCAAGCCTTGAGAATCCCATTGAAGAACGTAATACTACTAAGAGAGTTGAGGATGATTCTGAAGAACATGGTAGTCCAAGACTGGATGATTTAGGTGTCACTACTCACCCTCATGTTGAGGACTATACCACACCTGAGGAGTCAGGTATTGTGGAAACAGAAGGGGTCGGTAATATTGAAGACCCAAGTAGTATGCATAGGGATGATATTGATTCACATTCAAGCTCTGATGAGGGAGATCGTGGTAATGTAGATTATCTAGCTCGTGATAGGGTGGTGAGCCAGAGCTCTGAAGATAAAGAGAGAGAAGATTCTTCTAGCAGTAGTAGTAGTTCAGATAGTGAGAATGAATCTAGCAAAAAGGATAGGAAAGTGAAGGTTGAGGAGAATGTTTTCCATGTAGACGCAGGTAATCTTGGATATCTTGGAGATGAAGAACGTGCTCAAAGCAGCAGTCCTGACATTGCTTCCCGTAGTCCAAGGGTAGATGATGCTGAAAAATTAGAATTTCATAGCAGTGCCTCCGAAGGTGAGGATGCAAAAGATACTAATGATTCCTTTCCTGAAGTTTCAAGTCTGAATGCAACCAGGGGAAGTCCAATTGGGGATATAACTATGTTAGGAGTCCAAACCCCAGAAGGTGTATTGGAAGAGCCTGGTAGAGTTGAGAGTGAAGATGAGAAAGATGATGTCATTGATGGAGATGCAGTTCCAGAGGAGTCACCTGAATTGGATACAAGTGAAGAAATTGAGAGTGGTGAGCCTAGTAGTAGTCTTGAGGCATCTGGAGAGATCTTACTAGACACTGATAGTAGTGTAGCTGATGTCAAGCCCCAGTTTGAGGATGAGCAAACTCCTGATGAGGCAGAACAGTTGTCAGATGATGAGAGTTCATCAGACAGTGTGCCTGCAACAATGAGAGTTGATGATGAATGTGTTGAAAGAGAGGATGTTGGTTGTTCGAATGCTGAAATTGGGGAGGATGGTACAAGTTCTCAAGAAATCCTTTTGTCAAACCAACACCCCTCTGGGGAAGACCACAATGGGAATTATAGTAGTGAGGATGAGGATGATGTAGATAGTGTTAAAGCAGCAGAGGAGCATGATGACAGGGAGGAAAATGGAATGGATATGGGTGGGCGGGAACTAACCTCATCCCCATCAACTAACTCCACCTCATCTTCTGAGGGCAGCTATACAGCTAATCCTGTTGACTACCATAAAAATGATGACTTAATACATGCCATTGATTCACCAAATACACTTCATGATCAACAACATTCTGTCAAACACATTGGAGTGCATCAGGATGTATATCCTGGCAAGGAATCCAGCATTGTATTGGATGCTGTCAGAGAGGATGATGATGGCTTGAATGGCAAATCAGCGCAGACTGACGAAGAAGATGTGTCTGTCAGCACTGAATTGTAAACATCATTGCCATAGAAACACATCAGGTACTTCCATGTAACATACCTCAACACTGCCCTCGTCTGTTTCTCTTGCTTGAAAGTCTGGTTGTAGTAGCTTTCAGTTTTCTCTTTTTTTTTTATAAATTTGTGAGTGAATTTTTGTGCATTCACAACCCATCTAGTGACATTCTTTCTTTATGATTTTGTGCCACGCTTTCTCCACTGAACACATTTGCAGTTTTGTGTGTGAACCAAATTTGCTTTATTTTGCATAAGTTCTTTGTTTTCTTCATCTACCTTTTGAAAAGAATAAGTAATGTATATGAATATATTGGAGACTTGAATTGCTTAATTCATTAGCTCCAATCTTGAATGTCCAGATCTGAAATTTGATTTCTTATGTTGAACCAGATGTTGTAAAGATATTATATATATGAGACATTTGGAATGTTGTTAATACAATAGTTATGTAGTTTTTGCTCTATTGTGATCATTGATTGTTAGATGTTTTTTTAATTTACTGTTTCTGTATTTTTTGAGGATTTTTTGAAAATGTAGTCTAGCACCTGTCTTGGTTTAAATATAATTTGCTCTACGTTTTTGTGTTTTTTTTTCAGACTTTTGTCTTATTTTTTTTATAGGCCATTCATAGATATGTTTTCATTGTTTAAGGCATTTGATTTCTTCTATTTTGCATTACATTTAATGTTTTGATTTTCTATTTCTCTATTTTAAAAATTCTGTTGCTTAAAATTTCTTTCTCATCTAGCCTTAAGGGTGGTGTTGTTTACCAGTGCTGTGTCCACTCCTGAAAATTATGTGATGGTGATCACTACATACATACACAACATACTTACATGACTTCACCTATGACTTCATACAAACATAGTACAGTAAACAGCATTATCAGTCAGTCAGTCAATTAAGCCTGCCCTCAGGATTTTTACCTAATTTGCATGATATGCATGATTGCTTTTTTCAGATTTTGGGCTGAAATGTCATTGATGCTCATTGTTTTTTGTTTTTTTTTGGTCTTTTTTTCACTCTTTAGTTTACTTTATTATTTGTTTTTTTTTGTTTTTCTCCATGACTAGAGATTGGTTAGATTTAAACTTAGTTCATTAGAAAAATATGTTATTCAATACTATGTTGTTGAATTTTAATATCAAAATTCCTCCTCCCCACCCAAAAAAATAAATAAATAAAAATAAAATGAACAAATCCATTTCCCATTTACTGTTTAGTAACAATATGCAAATTAGTAAATAAAAATAATAGATATATATAAGACAATTATGATATTGAAATAAGCATGTATGTGTTATATTTCTTTACATAAAATAAAAATTCTGGAAAATTCTCTGCAAAGTAGTATAATAGTGTATTCAAAGAAATCAGTAGTTAACTGAAATTATAAATATATTCAGCTAGCAGTTGGAGATGCATGATTATTATCTGTGTTTTAACTATTGTTTCTTTATACCCTGCTTTATTCCACCATATTGCATGATGAAATTCAGTTTTGACATTGGTGGGGCTATAACATTATTTTAATCTGTGCTGTTGTGTAATGCCTATGATTACTGTTACATAACTGAGTCCCTGTTAACTTTTAATATAGGAAGATCCATTAAACAAAAAATGTTTATTATTTCTTAATAATATATGGAGAATCTTATATAAAGATAGAAAGCCACCAATGTTGAGAATATTTTTTTTATTAGTTTTATGAAGAATTATTAATAGACGTGTTCTGTCCTGGTTTGCATGCACATTTATGTTGTTACTGACAATATTTTTTTCAAAACAATTATATGAGTGGGAGGAAAAGATATGCATCACAAAGTCACAATACCGATACTTACTAGCTTGCATGGCATGATATCATAACTTCCCACAATGCTGCTTCAAAGCAAATAAAACGAATGTCATAGTAATGAATTATTTGTGATTAATACAAAAACCAATTCAAAATTAATCATGATAATTTTAGACTAGTATTTCTTTCTTTTTTTTTTGCACTTGCTGGTATTTGTGGGTTGTTATGCAGTTTATTTGCTTATGTTTTTTGAACTACCATTGTTTTCTTTGTTGTTGAGTCCATGTACTGTATATTGTGTTAGATGTACTGTATATTGTGTTAGTGGATTTAGTGCTTGATAAACATTGCTGGTTGTGGGTTTGGTTTGCTATGTGGTGAATGTTATATAACATTATGCATGTGTATGCCTCTGGTTGCTCTGCATGTCAGGGGAAAAGGCTTGTTTTTTGTGGGATAGGGGGGTATTGCCAAACAGACTGGGGTGCGAAAATTGAGAAATGCGGAACTAAATCTGTATACCAATGAAAACTTAATGGTCATTTATAATATTTTAACCCACTTAGTGGAACTAATTTATAGTCATGGGTTGCACTCCCAGCCAATGCCCATGCATGTTGTATCAGTCATAATCTGTCAGGTGCTCTACCAGCTAACAACAATAAACTTATCCATTTTAAATGCAGTATTTATCTGAATGTGTAGAAACTGTATTTTGTTAAATTTATTTTCTAGTGGAAAATAATCTAGAACCCTGAAAGATTCAATTAAAATGTATTAATCATGAAATATGTCAATGCAAAAATACATTAATCTTTGATTTTTATATAATTTCACTAACTGAACTTTGGGAAAAAATTATTCATTGAATTTGTGACTAAAATTGTTTAAAGTTCAGAAAATATTATGGCAAATGTGTATAGTACCTAAAAGAAATATTAAATCATATTTAATTATAGTTTTTATACTTTTACCAGATGCTGTGTGAGGGAGAAACGTGTCAGGAGGAACAATTACCCACTAGTCCTGGGCAACTACACGAGTTTCTGCCGACCAAAGTGCAACCGCCATCATGATAGTCAATATTTAATGGATTTCTGCAAGTCATCAACGAAAAGAAAAACAAAACCGACTATGTCTTACTGCGTCTGCCATAATGGCCAAGCCCTGTATCATATTTGTGGCAAGGTGTACTAAATGTTGTGGTTTGCTGCCCTCTATCATCCTTTCATTGTCAGTATGTGGATTTTCTTTCTGTGTATAATACTGTACTTATTTCGCCTTATTGAGAGGAAGCACGGAAAACACATGTTGAATTGGATAAGAGTCTACTGGATAACCGTAAAGGCGTATATACGGAGATCATTAAAATAAATATGGTAGCCTGCATGAAGACAATTAAACCAAATCTACCATAGAACTTAGTAGCAGTGAATATACTACATTGATGTATTGTGTATTGTAAAATAAAAAACTGCATTTTAACAATGTTTATTTCTGCTATGAATGAGAATGACTGTTATTGTGGATGGCATCTGTTTAAGCAATTACATAGCAGAATTTTAATGTTTTTCCTTATTTTGTTCAATGCTTTTGAGAGTAGGATCTTGCCAAGTACATGGAGTAGAAGTAATTTTTCATGAATTAAAATTAAGTCACTTGATTTTGTATTAGTAGATCAATTGTATGTTAAGCTGCCTGGATGCAAAGAAACGTATACTGTTGTACTGTGTAAGGGGGCATTATACTTTGCCACTATTGAACCCGGAAATATAAATGTGGTAGGAGATACCCCCCTGTTTAGCTGAGCAAGACATAAATCAAGTACTGTACTGCACTCTTAATTACTATGATTAGTACAATATTCAGACGCGACATCAAAAGCGCAATCAATAATTTAAAATATATGTAGAGCATCAGTAGAATCTCTAGGAATTAGCTATGTTAATTTTAAATTGGTGTAAAAACTTCTTTGTTTAGATATTCTTCATTTAAGCAGACTTGTTGCAGGGCCATTAGTTTCCAATAACAAAAAATTAATTATAATGTACATGCAATCACAAATTAATATATTAAGTAAAGGAATTAGTGAGCCAAATTAATTAGAAACAGCGAAATGAATGTCTAGTTTTGCAAGTTCATGAAGAATAATTATATGAATATTCATGAGCTGATAATGGTCACATGATCAATAAGCAGAGAGAGTACTGTAATCATAATGACTTTTTAAATTGTTTATTGTGTCCGTATGTTTTAAAAACCCCTCAATTATTATTCTGTTAGGGTGTTGCGATCTGCGCTGCTACTATGACATGGGTTTATAGTACGAGAAAGAATCATGTTGTTCTTCATGGAAGTTGTCATTAAAAGATGATGAAAACCCAACAGAAATGAAACAATCTGTAATATAGCGAAACAAATTAGCGATATATTTATTTCTTTGTGTATGTAAATTGTTCTTTAATTAGTTACTATTTTTGGTGTTTTCAGAGTCCGGCTTATAAGTTTATAAATTTAGGAATGTAGTTTCACGTTTCATTTCTGTTGGTAAACAAGTTGTAACACAAGCTTGATATTCTTCGGCTTTAGCTGATAAGTTTTAACTGGAGAAAAAATGTTATGCATTACTATGGTATATTCAGCTAGCATGGTACCAATTGCCTTTAGTCAATGGATTCAAAGTGGTGAGTGAATCCAACAAAATGCATAACACTATTGATGTTGTCTTTAAGCTTGTTGAAGGCTTACAGTTTGTTCTTAGTGATACAGTATTGTCATGTGATGATAAAGGTGTAAAGCGATTGGTAATTTCCAGAATGAAAATGGTAGAATTAAACTACAGTTATGTCAAATTTGTCCTGCTAGGACTGCATTTAATGTCATCTATTAAAGAGATTTAAAGAGAATTGTTCTTTGTCTTGTTCATTTTTGTATTATTTGTAAAACATATACTGTTGAACTTGTAAGTCAAATCTAAAATGGCATTGAAGAAAAAAAAAATTGGCAAGTTTAACTGTACTCATATTGTTTAATAGCATGTATTCATACAGTGTGGACACTTGATTTCTAAATCATTAGACCATCTGTTATTCTTTCTGATAAGTGCATTTTCAGGGGATTTGCTAGACTTGCCACAAGTCCCTTATTTTTTCTCATCCTGGACAGCGCCACCAACAAGCAAGTTAATTTAGAGCCTAATCTAAAAAAAAAAAAAATCAAGTATGGGACGCCAAATAAATTAAGTATGGCGCGCAATGAAGAGAGAATAACCCAAAATTAGTGCCTGGAATCCAGGCTAGGGATTTCCCTAAACAGAGGTCTTACATCCCCCGCAAGAGCTCACATGGGCATGGCCAGCCCAGCCCAGGACCCCCCCCCCCACTGGGAGTTCTTGAGTTATATCATTGATTCCAAACATCTATCGTGTAATTGTTTTAAAAACCTGCAAACTTTGAGTAGCTTGGTGGTGAAGAGGCTCGCTTTCCAATCCCAGTCTCCAGGTTCAATTCCTGTCACAGTAACAGGATTTTCTTTCCATGACCAAAGCCTCATAATGAGTCTATGCAGAGCAAGCTCCTTATTAGCTTGGGTTCCAGGCCCTAATTTTAGGTTACTCACTCTTTATTGCACTTAGTGCCCGCCATACCTAATTTAATTGGCGTCCCATACTCGATTTCTTTTTTTTTTCAAATTATTCCATCTCTAAATTAACATTCTCGTTGGTGGCGCTGTCCAGAATGAAAAAAATAAGAGACTTGTGGCAAGTCTAGCTTCTTATATTTGATTTGTGAAGTGATATGCCACTTATAGTGATATGATCCAATAGAAAAGACAAAGCACAAGTTACTCCTTTTTAAGAGAAAAACTACAAAACAATTTATTCAAAATGTGATGAATTTGAGACATCATAATGCACTCTACTAAACAATCTGCAGGTTATGAAAAAGGCAAAGGATATTGAAGTTTATACTTGATCTTCAAGGCCAAAACTCAAACATCATTACAAACAAGAATTTTTTGCTTCCAAAAACCAGAACTTATCGACAAATGATAGTATGAAAAATTACAATGTTTTATATCTACGAACACTGTAGAATCGATGCATTTTATAGTATATATGCAGTAAATTAGTTTGAAATACTAAACAAATGCATTTCAATGGCCATGCTTCCGAAAGACCACAAATACAACATCCTACAGTATTTATTACTGGGTTTGTATATTTTCTTATTCTGCTTAAAATTTACACCTTTTCCTCTTCTAACCATGTCTGAAGACCAGGTTAAATAAGTGGTACATGATGCACTTAATAAAAAAATATACAGTACTGCACAGTACATTTAGATGACAGTTTCTGATTAGTAAAGGGAAACTCTTACTGCTAATTCCATTAATTCATTTTAACTATTGAAGTAAGCATTATCAAATGTAGCTGTACTGTATGTATTTTGTGTGTTTCTAACATCACACATCTATTCAAAACATACAGGCCCAGATATATTCCTGTCAAAAAATGAAAACTTATTTCAAAAGAGCAAAAGTGTCCAGTATACATATTTATATAGGCTTGATCTTGAAATGTAGACCGATGAGAGAAAATACGAAACACTTTATGTCTTGTACAAGGTAGTAGAATGTCCTCAGCCCTTCAGCATCCCTGAGAAAAGTAAAAGCAATGTAATTAATATCAAGATGATTCCATTCAAGATTGACATTATGTAACATACATCTTCCTTCAAAAATAAATGTTAATGATGATAATTATATTCCAAATAGTTTTATCTGGTTTGCTTACAGCAGCTGTAGTACTGTTTTATCTACAAAAATCTAAGCACAATTGATGTAAACTAACTGTGAACTTTCGTCGATGTTATCAACATGACTTCTGCTATGTGAAAAGGTCTGGCACCAGAGGGCGTTGTTCACCCAGTGCTCAAAACAACGAATGCTGGCTCACACAGCCTGACAAAGTCATGTTGATAACATTGAGGAAACATCGCAGTAAGTTTACATCAACTGTGCTTGGTTTATTTATTTAGGAACACAACACCTGCACCAAGGATCGTCAGTAGCGAATATATCACTGTCTTATTGCAGGTGACAATCTCTTTCAATGTTTTTTTGCTCAAACTAAATCTCAATATAAGGTTAGTGAGTGGAGTTTCTTTGCTTAGGTCATGAGAAAAAAACCTGTAACAATGACAGGAATTGAACCCAGGACTCTGGGATTGGAAGGCAAGCATCTTAACCACCAAGCTATTCAACTCCACTCATATTATTATCGATAAAACAGTACTATATCATCATTATCATCCCCACCATTAGTATAAAATATAATTATAAGTATCAGACATACTTGCTATTGTTGACATCAATAAGTGACCCAATCTTGCTTGTTGTAAATGAAATGTGTTCATCTCCCATAACAATCTCCAACTCCTGTCTACCCACACGGTCCGGGGGTGGCCACAGCCCATCATCTTCCTGCATTACTTCACTATCCTCTACAAGTCTCCTCAGTTCTTCTGTCACAGCTTTGTGTACAAATGCCTGAAAAAAAGTGTAAATATATTAAAATAGTACATTTACATATAATGCCCCAATGGTCTAACCAATTTATAATTAGAGTACAGTTATGCATTATTGTTTGAGTACCCACAATATACAGTATGTATATCAAGCAATTTTCACTGTTTTCAATCAAAAACTTTAATGATGGTATAGTCATCTGGAGTATAAGGTAAAATAAGTTATTAACTATTACTATACAACAATTACTACATATCTAACACAAGACCGGAAACTTTGGAAAGTCATACTGAGGCCTTCATCCAGCAGTGGATTGACAATGGCTGATAAAGTAAAAAGTAAAGTAACTATTGCATTCTGTAGTACAAATATACTTACCTCTTTCCTGATCATCACATCATTTTTGTAGTTGGAATTATTTGCATACCGAAGCTTGCCTATTGGAAAATAAATTTATTCAATAAAACAATTCATAGATTTACAGTATATAGTGAAAGTAAACAAGGTCACATTGTGCTTGACAATAGACAACAAAAACTGTATTTTTATTTATATATTTCACAACAGCCAATCAGTGGTTTAATGCTGAAAGGTGTAAAAAGGACACGAATTATTTAGGCCTAGGCCTACATAACTTGCCTGCAATACAGTAACATACTCTACTGGATAGATTAAAGCCGACAGACACCTCAGTAATATTATGTAAAACATATCTGGCTTGTTTTCTGCCCGAAAGATTCAAATCAAGCAAAGGAGGTCAATAATTATAATAATCCTCTTCCTTGACTTGTTTGGTTCAATCGAGATGCTGCCATTTAAAACCATTTAGCGTAATATTGCCGTATATATAGGCCCTAGCTCTTGGTCTGAATGGAAAGACAGTAACTGGCAGATTGTTTCAGTGAGACGCGGTAACGTACATCAAACAAATTAACAGCTTTCCTTCTTCGACAGCTAGGCCTGGGGCCTAGGCCTGCGTCTATGAAGACCCTAGGTAAACCTAGCTAGGGATATGTAGGCCTAGGCCCTATCCTATGCCAATTCTCGTCGGAAACTGCTGTATGTTCGTAGGCCTAGCCTAAAAAACCATCTCAAACGCTCATTGAGAATGGATCCATCTAAATTATATATATACCATAAATATCTTGGATTAAAGAGCATTCTTACCATCGGGTCTGAATTCAAATTCAAGGAATTCGTGGCCAAATTTTCCTTTATGACCAACGTAATATCGTAGGTAGAATTCGCTGTTAGCCGACGCCATGCTTGTTGTTTGGCTGGTGGCGGTGTTCATGTACGTGTACCAGAGCTGTATTTACGGCGGCCGGCTCTGCATGTTCTTAAAAAATTTTCTCCATGCTTGTTATTTATTTATTTGTTCTTTATACTGGGTTACCTGTTAAAATATTTAAATTAGAAGAAAAACAACACAGACTATCAAAAAACATTTACTGTCATACAGTATAAAATTGATGGAAAAGAATTTCATACCCCCGCCTTTTATCTTTATTATTCTAATTAGAGACCAAAGCTGCTAAAGACATAAACCTCAATATTATCCTAAAAGTGGTCTTAATTAAAGGGAGACCTGCATAATGTATACAACATAACACACGTGAACAGACTAAACCTGTAATGTTATACTGAATTTGATTTTGATTCTGCCCTGGTCCGTGGAAAAAGAAAATAAATAAATAAAATAAATAAATAATCGACGTTCCGGTAATTTCACACGACTACTAAGTACAGGTTTTTGTGCACCTCAGTGTGTTTCATTCGGTTTACTTAATTATAGTAACAAATTGTTAAATATACAAATAAGGGTAAAACTTTACTGTATTGTTTGGTTTTGTTTTTGTTATGTTATTTATCCGTTTGTTGTTTTTGAACTGTCTTTTGCTTTACTTTTGTTTATATTTTATATTGTTCATGGGTGAACCACCAAAGTGATAGGTGCCACTGATCTAAAAGTGAACCCAATAAATCGTATCGTATCGTGAACAAAAATCTGTGCAGTCAAAATCAATATCAAATGCAGCGTATTTTGAGAGTACTGTAAAATGAATGGCGCCATCACTTTGTCAGACTCTTTTTAAAAACATTACAACACTGATTTGTGTGGTAGATTAGAAGATGTGCTAGGTTTAGGATACGATACAACTCGTTTGTCTGACCATTTGGGATAATTACAAAGTGAGAAACATACTTCATTGGAATCGAAACATTACAGGTATTGTTCTTTCTTTGATACTTGATCTTATTGTACTAAATTTCCGCCGAATTTCCTTCTGAATTCTGAGTTAAGATTACGATTCGGATTAGTCTGGCTGTCGTGCTGCCATAGCAAACGACAACAGAAGTCCAGTCAAGACTCAAGGGACCCTAATCAGTTACGTAGTGATACCGTTTTTGATCTGATTCATTGGCGGATTGGCTCCTTGTTGTACTTCCCTTGTATACTTATTACTAATATCTGCTAGGCCTAGGCAAAACCAGGTCGAAGACCTGTCTAGGCCTAGGCCTAGTTTCTTTTGACTTTAATTTTTTTTTATAGGCCAGTTTAGTCATCATAACTATAAATATATAAGGCCTAGGCTAGTAATGTATAGGCTATAAAGTTATATTTTACTTGTTTTTTTTTTACATTTAATTGTTTTTGTTTTGGACACTTTCACATTGTATTGCATGTGTACACACACCAGACTGTATAGTAAGGCCTGTGTGGGGAATATATTCTCTGCACAAATTTTGGCCTAGAAATCCGTTCATGCATTTAGGAAAATAATAGTGGCCAATATCCAGGCAGATTTTGCCGAAAATTAGACTTTGACCAAATCTTAATATAAACCAATGCAATTATGCAGCAATTACGATTCTACGCACAAATTTTCCTAGCGATTTTTTGCCCAAATTTGAGCTGATTTTTTTAGATGTCCCCGACGGAATTAAAAAACTTTACAGTATGGTACACACACTCTTTCATTGGCAAACACGTTCCGACGTTTGGCCAATTAACAAATTAGATAGAAGAACCATAGATAGAAGCATAATATTTTGTATTCCTTTACAGGATTCCAAAGTCGGAAGAAGCAACTTAACTGTGAGATCTAGTTAAATAAATGTATTGGTTTTAATATTAAAATACTCATCGGCATCGCAAACTGAAATTGAATATCCAGTAGTTAAAAAATGAATACATCGTGAAGACATGCAATTTTATTGTTGTGGTCACTCTATTTTCTGGTCTTTTAATTTACATTCTATTTAAGGATAAACCTCTGTCTATTGCAAGCACTCATCAGAGGCTTTCATTACAGATTAACCTTCTTTAATGACTTGACAAAATTACTATGCAATGGTCTGAGCTTCAAAGCTTATTGTAATCGTAATTAAATTCGGAGTCAAACTGTCAATCTCTGTGATTACGTTGTGTACCCATGGTTATGTTTGTACACTGTAGACCATTCCACATTTCCAAGGTAAAGTTACCAAGAAATAGCTTCTACCATTAAAATAGCTCTGTGCAACAGAGTATTAAAAACGCTACTCCAACCATTTAGGTATTTACCTCCATGTCCCAACAAAGGTACCCATTGAAAAAAAATAAATTTAAAATGTAGAGTTTGTGGCTTGCTTGTGTAGTACTGTAGCCAGCTCCTGATAATGGTCAGAGACTATGCTCTAGTGGGACCAGAGCTTTTTCGGTAGGGTGATACTTTATTTGAGGCAGTAAAGATGATCTGGTCTGTGCCAGAGTAGTCTCTACTCAATCAAGGTCAGTAAGATTTAATGTAGGACCAGTGGGATTTTCTGGGTAAAGTCCCATTCACATGAAATCCAATTTTTTGGACCAAAAAACCTAATGAATGGATCAGAAAATGGAATTAGCGTGTTAGAATAAGGATGCTGGCGTTCAGCACTTCAAAAATACAGTCCGAATTTTGATTTCGGATCCGATGGTGAATACAGTTTCAGGCAAGAGTATGAAGAGAAGCTGTAGGTTGTTCCAGCTTTAAATTAGGCCCTTTTTGAATGCTTTAGTGCAATACAATAAAAAACCTCACTAACTTGCTTGAAACAAGGTATAATTGACATAATGCAATCACCTTTATATCAAATATGCTATTTGTCATGTTCAACAGGTCAGGCTTGATAACAAGTTACCTCATTTTTCAATTCATTGACAAATCATTTTAAACAGGAATATAGAATTTCAAATATATTGTAGGCATTAATTTTCTTAATTGTAGACTGTTGACAGAATTGGATTTTTAGGCCTACCTTAAATTCTATTTAACCTTAAATCTATTTAACCTTAAATTCTCAATTTCAACCTGTTAAGATGAAATAATTAATTCTCTTTCTTTGGCTCTATTCAGGAAATTTGTACATAAATTTGAAAAAAAAAATGTTTCCATTATTATTTTCACACTAGTAGTTACTGTGTATTGCCAGAAATTGCGCTAAAATTTGTAAAACTAAAAACTTAATGATAAACATTTTTCTCATATAAAAGCTTATAACAGACAAAGTTCTAGTTTTCAAGTTTATCTCTCTACGAACACTGAGATCTTTAAAAGAATTACAGATGAACATTCCCACTACTGTCTTTCATTCAAGTATAGACCCTATAGATCTAAATGAATTTGTTGGAAATTCTTCATTCCATGTATGCCTGTGGGAAATCTTTTTAAAGTTTATGATTAAACAAGTTTTGACTCATCCTCTTAAATCTCTGTTATGTAAACTTTGCAGCATTCTGCCCAGCTGTGTATAGGAGCACTATGTGTTAAATGAAGCAGAAGGACTCAGGCTTTCACAGAGTCAATTGCTGAATAATAAATGTAGCAAGCTAGGACCTTGCTCAGTCAGTCACAGCTATTATTATGTTTTTCATGAATACACTAAACTTTACTTATAGTGTTGGATAGAATACAGTATATTGATACAGTAGGCCTAATGTAATAGTCACAGGGGTCCCAAGATTCCCAGAAGTCGCCTGAGTCTCCCAGAAATCGGGACGGCCTCCCACACTCCCCCAAGCAAGCAAGAATCTCCCAGAAAATAACTCCCACAAATTGAATACTTGCATATATTTACTACTGTATTATCACTTGTTCACAGAAATCAATGCCAATGGGTGTCACCATACTCAGCAAAATATAATTTAAATGTATTAAGAAAGTCAATTTAAAATAAGATCTCACTTTTTCCAACTTGGGACCCAGTAATAATTAACTCATTTCTGTCAAATCTAGTGTGCTAGGACTCCACTGGGTTTGAGTCTTTATGATTGTGATCTTTGTGCACTACTGTATGCCAAGTGGATGTAATTCTACCCTAAGTTGCCATTTGCTTGAAACATTATTTTGTTGGTCCCTAGTCACAATCACATCACTGTGGAATTCAGATTTTTAAAAAAATTGAAGATAGAAATGAAATTTATGTATTGTGCTACACTACACTGACTATGTTTACACCTAAAGTATTGGTATGTATGTCTAAGGCTTGATTATGTGAGGTTAGGTGATTAGGTATTAGGCCAAAAAATAAAATATTGTTTGTTGTCAAAAAAAAATAAAAATAAAATGCTGACCCTTAATTTCGTAAAATTTGGGTCGGTCGAGTGTGGCCAACAAAATAATTTTTTTGGGGGCTTTAAGGTTGGTAAGGCCTCATAAAAAAAGTATAAATCAGCAAACATAACCTTTGTCAGAAATAAAGATTTTATTTATTTATTTTTTTCTTTGCCTTATCTGGCCATGACATGGGAAAAACCATTCAACTTACAAAACTATTGTTTTGAAAGTTAAATCATTTTAAAGTTTAATTTAAAGACAAATATGGTTTTTGTTAGGACTCGAGGATGTTCCAGTTGTTTATAATAACTGAGACATTTTCTTGTTACCTTTTCATACATTAGTAAATAAATTGTAATATAAAGTACAGTAATAAGAATTTTCAGGCCTTGTCTTTGCGCTATTATTACAGTCTCAAGTCTGTTGATTGTTTAGAACAGGTGAATTATAATATGATATCGAGTGTTAATAACTGCAACAAATCATTCAGAAAAACAGAACAATGAACACATTTAAATCAATTGTGATACATTTTCTCAATTGTCATGACCCATATAATAGCATGATATGAAACTTGACACATGATAACCTGACCCACCCACTCACGATCCCCTTTCTTGGTTGTGAATGCAGAATGTGTTGTTTCCAACCCCCAATTTTTATCCTTCTGTACATTATTGTCACCTAATCATATGACAGTTTGATATGGGGGCA